ATCGTGTGGACTTAATAACTAATAAATGTCACTTCGTCAGAACAGTCTATGGTCAGAACTAAGGAAGTCAAACCCTCTCAGGAACAAAATGGCTCTATCAGTCTGTTAAGAAACAATACAGGGTGTACCGTGCCACTAATTTAAAACCTGTCCTGTTGAGTAAGAAGGGATCTGGAGTAAACTATGAAGAGCTAATACTTTAATCTGAAACATGTACGGCACATCCAGAACGCGCGCGCGCACGCGCACACACAAAAACACAACACAACAACATACATAGGGTATTCCGGATGATTCATGTCATCGAGCCGACCAGCGAGCACGTGTTATAAATACTGAAATCATTAGATGTATAAGTTAGTACATTTTGGCTGTCTCAAATCCTAGCGAGCTTCCTCCTGCTGTTTTAATACCTAAACGCTGTCCAGGTATTTAGGTTAGCTCTCTAGGTTTGGGACACAGCCATTGAGCGAGACTTACTTGGAGTGAGCAGCTCTGAGAGACTCGATCTGTCTCTGTCTTTGTTTCTGTAAACTGTTCAGAGGAGGGATCGATCCAGAGCCCTTGGACAGAGGGAAAATCCAGTTCATCCTCGACTGCCAAAACGCAAACTAACGCTTGAATCTCTCGGCGGTGTCAGTTTTAAGAGGCCTGACGAAATGAAACAGAAATTCAAGAAATACCCAACGCCACCATTAGCATTAGCTACGAACCTATCTAGTGTTTACTAATGTTAGCGACCCAACACCCGTTTAAATGAGTGAATATGGAACCTAAAGGAAACAATGAAATAGCCGCTTAAAGATCTGTTAGTTTTAATAACAGTATGAGAGATTAAGAAGTGCACGGGCTCACAAGAAAACAACCCGTGTGAGCGTGACGTCAGCTGTTTAGCGCTGCTCGCGTCATCACTCACAGCAGGGAGGAGTTTAAAGAGACACGGTTCTAAAAGCATATTCGACAGGTTTCTGAGAATTATTATTTTTTTTTTTTTTAAGAAATAGAATAACTGTATATCACTATTCTACACAACACAGGAGAACAGCAATACAACGACATGCCCCTAACAGTCGGGAAATCATTCTTACAAGTTGCCATGCTAAGTATCGAGCGCTTTAACTAACGTTAATCACTGGATTAGCACAATTGTATTTATTACAAACGACATTAATCAACAAGTGCGTTAGCTTAGCTGCGCGTATTTGAAGCATTAATGATTATGAAGACGTCAATGTTTTTTAAGTTCCTACCGTCTGTGAGACACTTAGTGACAGAAGAGACTCGAGCTGGGTTTTGCTATTGAAAGTTAAGACTATACTTTCAGGGATCATTTCTATAGTTTCTAACTTGGAAGTGCATTTCTAAAGTGACGTGTCTCCCCACCCACGATGAAGAGCTTTGATACTCTTTTCTGAGCGTGAATCGGGTGTAGAGTAATGATTTACTTCATAAGCTCTGCATCATTGATGAACGTTCCTCACTGTATTATATGGTGAGGAGGAAAGGGGTATGATCAGAGTGGTTTTAAAAACTTGTTAATAACAGATTAACTTATACGATACTAGAATGTCTAGAAAAATAATATTCCATGTTAACAGATTGACGTGTGCACTCTGTAAAAATGGAGATATAGTGATCGTATAGGGTTACTATATTGTGATTAAACACATAATCTGAAGCACTGATGTAATTTAATGTTCTAACTAATTTTTATACACGACCATCATGACTGAATTTTTTCTATCATTGTATAAAAAAAAGTTTGCTAAATATTCATCTGACATTAGTCAATCTGTCGAATTTTGAACAGATTTGAGACGAAACGAAAACCCCATTGTTTCAGCATTCAATGTCACTTCTCTCTGTGTCGTCCCTACCGTCTGTGAGGCATCTAGTGACAGAAGAGACTCGAGCTGGGTTTTGCTATAGAAAGTTAAGACTATACTTTCAGGGATCATTTCTATAGTTTCTAACTTGGAAGTGCATTTCTAAAGTGACGAGTCTCCCCACCCACGATGAAGAGCTTTGATACTCTTTTCTGAGCGTGAATCGGGTGTAGAGTAATGATTTACTTCATAAACTCTGCATCATTGATGAACGTTCCTCACTGTATTATATGGTGAGGAGGAAAGGAGTATGATCAGAGTGGTTTATTTGATGTTGTAATAACAGATACAGTATTTCATGTGGTTAGGAATTTATAAACGAATTAAATTGGGAATGAAAGATTTTTAAATTGTCTTTTTAAAGAATGTTAGAACAGTTATAGTGATAGTGGTAAATACATTAGATGCTGTAAACACATTGTGGTATTGGTTAGATTAAAAATGTAATTTGAAGAATTGACAAGTTGTTATGGCTATGTTCTAATAAGAAAATGTGTAATGTCCCTCCCAAATTATAAAAAAAAAAGTTAATTAAATATCTGCCTGGGATCAATCTCTAATTTTTACGATTTGAGACTAAAAATCCCATTTTTTTCAGACTTCAGATGTCAATATTCTCATCGCTATAGAGACACTATATGATGAACAGATTTAATTTAGGCTTTTATTCGCATAACATTGATCAGCGAACATAAACAGAAGCCCAACCGAGCTTACTACACGTCTAGAGCAAGAATAAACCTCATTGGTTCTTGCTGAAGCTCAATCGTGCTGCGTAACACAAGACTGAACCTCATTGGTTCCTGCTGAAGCTCAAACACACGAGATGTAAACAGGAAGCTCAAGCTTGACGTGCAAGAACCAATGGGATTCATTGTCATCAAGCGAACATGCTTGAGCTTCCGTTTACCACAGCTGATGTGTGTGAGTTGATGAATGTTTATATGTAAATAAAAGCTTAAATTAAATGTGTTCATCATATAAAGCGATCATGTCTCTTCTGAAAGTTTTGAACTAAACTGCTCAATTCATATGGATTAGTTTTATGATTTCTTTATGAACTTTTAAGCGCCAAGTAGTAGTTGCGTAGCTGTCTGTGGAGGACAGAAAGCTCTCAGATTTCATCAAAAAAGATTTTCATTCGTGTTCAGAAGATGAAAGAAAGTTTTACGGGTTTGGATGACATCAGGGTGAGTAATTAATGACAGCATTTTCATTTTTGGGTGAACTTTAGGTGTGTTATGGATGATTGTAAGTGTGGAGTTCACATAGGTGTGTTAATAGTTAACTCACTACACCGAATCATGGTTTACCTCTATAAAACCTACTGTCATATTGAAGACATGAATTTTTAAGACATCTAAATTATCTACATGATGTTCCCTCATGCCCTTAGCCACTTTAGGGACGAAGCAATGATCAAAACTTTACCACCTGTTTTGCACATCTTCTACATGTTTTCTGCCCTCTAATTGATAGCTCATACTAATCATGTTAAAATGTGTGTATCAAATGATACAACATGCCTTTAAGGAACACTTTATCTTTCAATCATCATTATATGTTTATAAGGATAAGGATTATATGTTTTGCCCCTCACAATTAAAACCGCAAACTAACACGTATTATTGGGAGATACAGAGTGACAACTGATATTTATATGCATTTTATGTAAGTAGTCTGCTAATACTGTTGTTATTGATGTATTTTTTTTAAATATAATCTTTTTTAAATACAAAATGTTTTAACAGAACTGGTTAAATAAAACAATGTAAATTTTACTGTGTTGATGTTACTTATAGTAGATATTTTTATTTTATTTCAAAAGTTCAACTTTTGAGTGCATTTGTATTTTTAGTCTTTAATCTTTATAAAAATATGCATATTTATTAAAACCATGTGCATATTGAGAAAAGTTTCCTTGACAAAATACGAACTTAATCTTCACGCTCAGCATTGTAATAGATACGAAAATAAAACTTTTATTTAAAAAATAAAATAAAATAAATTATCAACATAATAAACTTTCAATTTAAGTGTTTAATCTAAAAAATAACACAATTTATTTACAGCATACTAAATACCACTATCAACACAACTACTCTAACATTCTCTAAAAAATAACAATGAAAAATGTGTCCTTCCCGGTTAAAATTATGTTAATAATTCCAAATCATGTGAAGCACTATATCTGTTATTATTATTATTTTTTTTTTTATAATTTGGGAGGGACATTACACATTTTCATATTAGAACATAGCCACAACAACATGTCAATTCTTCAAATTACATTTTTAATCTAACCAATATTACAATGTATTTACAGCATGCTACGGTATTTACCGCTATCAACATTACTGTAAATATTCTATCATTCTTTAAAAAGACAAATTAGAAATCTATCATTCCCAGTCAAATTCGTTTATAAATACCAAACCAAATAAAATACTTTATCTGTTATTATAACTTCAAATAAACCACTCTGATCATACCCCTTTCCTCCTCACCATATAATACAGTGAGGAACGTTCATCAATGACGCAGAGCTTATGAAGTAAATCATTACTCTACACCCGATTCACGCTCAGAAAAGAGTATCAAAGCTCTTCATCGTGGGTGGGGAGACTCGTCACTTTAGAAATGCACTTCCAAGTTAGAAACTATAGAAATGATCCCTGAAAGTATAGTCTTAACTTTCAATAGCAAAACCCAGCTCGAGTCTCTTCTGTCACTAGATGCCTCACAGACGGTAGGGACGACACAGAGAGAAGTGACATTGAATGCTGAAACAATGAGGTTTTCGTCTCAAATCTGTTCAAAATTCGACAGATTGATTTATGTCAGGTGAATATTTAGCAAACTTTTTTTTATACTATGATAAAAAAAAATTCAGTCATGATGGTCGTGTATAAAAAAATAGTTAAAACATGAAATTACATCAATGCTTCAAATTATGTGATTAATGTTATTTACAATACAGCGAACCTACACGATCACGATTAGTCAATTATAACAGATACCACAATTCAACTCCATTTGGTAACATTGAGCATTGATTTATCAGATCCTTCGGTATTAAATATTATTCATTCTGTCATTAACAAGTATTAAAAAACCACTCTGATCATACCCCTTTCCTCCTCACCATATAATACAGTGAGGAACGTTCATCAATGATGCAGAGCTTATGAAGTAAATCATTACTCTACACCCGATTCACGCTCAGAAAAGAGTATCAAAGCTCTTCATCGTGGGTGGGGAGACTCATCACTTTAGAAATGCACTTCCAAGTTAGAAACTATAGAAATGATCCCTGAAAGTATAGTCTTAACCTTCAATAGCAAAACCCAGCTCGAGTCTCTTCTGTCACTAAGTGTCTCACAGACGGTATTCAGTAGTTGGTCAATCGCAAAGTACATGAAACAGCGATTAGAAAAGTAACAACTAAAACATTGGTATGTCCATTGTCCATAATCACTAACACTTCAAATATTTTAAACTAATACAAATATTGACTAATATCGGTGTACAACTAGTAGACACTTTTGAAGCGAGACATATTTCCACATAAGTTACTTGTGCTCACCATTATCACCGATGAGAAAAACAACAACATTCACAACCACATTCGAGTAGAATTTTTAACATTGTTCATTGTTTCGATTGCATATTTAACTTAAATAACATCAAACACTATTTATTTTTTACTGTAGAAACAATATAAATAAACTTATATTATGGTCACCTATACAGTTACCCATAATGCAAGTCGAACTCTGGAAACAACACGTGACAAAGCAACCAATCAAGAGAGAGTATATGTGTTCCTCAATAAAAACGTAATATATAAGCATTTTAGACTTTCGGACACTGTGTAACACACACACACACACACACACACACACACACACACCAGTTATTATAAATATAAATATATTTGATTTGTTTTCTTCACGTAAATCGTGAATTGGTACATCACTATCAAATGTCCGGAGAGAAATCGCTCACTCTGTATAAAGGTTCCGTCAAAATGAAAGTTGTTTTGAATATGTCACATATTATTACATATTCTATTTGTCACATATTATAGGCCTATGTGTTATAACTGGGAAAACTACACTTGCTGTATTCTTAAAACATATGTCTTTAAGCTAAATTCAATAACCAAATACAGTCAGCAGCAGCACGTTTCATAAATCACAGGCTATCTGTATGTCTGTGTCTTTTGTATCGATTTTTTTGTGTGTCTTCGCTAAGTTTCAGAATTATTTTGATGATCTAAATCCTAAATAATTCACCTTTATATTTGTCTCAAAAAGGAAAACAGCCTATTTCTGATATGTTTATGTATAATAATATTCTAATAGGCAATACATGGCAATTTAATATAGGCCTATAGGTCATGGAGTTTCATTGGAGACAATCATAGGCATATGGACCACTTTATTGACTTGAATAACATTGTTATGGAATTTCAAGTCTATTTGTCAAGTACTTGAATTATAGTCTTACTGTGCTTAGACTGTGTTAATTGCCTTAGATGGCAAGACAAACTTATACAATCTTTGTACAGCCATACCTGTTCAAAAATAAATAAATTGTATGAGAAAAATTAATAAATATATTTTAATATATATTAAGGCAATGATCATTATTGCTACATGAACTAATCTCTTTCAAAAACAAAGAACAAAGTATTACCCTTTCACACAGTATAATTCGGTGCATTTAAACAATCCTGACAGATAACAACGATAAATAAATATGATTAATAGTTTTGTTTGTAATGGGCGTAATAAAATGCAAGGTACAATATAGTATAAATATAATTAATAAAATGCCATAATGATTAGCTCATCCTGCTTAAAACATCTCCATTAAAAATGCAAGAAAATGATCTCTTTACCCTGCCTGGACACATTTGAGTAACTTCAAAACATACAAAAATTTAACTTGTACCAACTGAAACTCAGTTACAAGGCCGTCCTCCAGGTTACATGCAAACAAGATTAATAGCAGATTACAGGACAAAGTTTGATCGTGCAGATGTGCAGATACTAGAACATGCAGAGCGCTGATTGCAGGGACACTATCCCAATCCGAGTTTCCCAAGGTTTCAAGATCAACAGAGGATGAGGTAGATCTCATGATGGAATCTCTAGCACTATTCCTTTCTCTCTCAAACATTTCCAGAGCAGTTTCCTTCTGAGAAATAAAAGCCGCGTTCCTCGTTCACCTGGTGCATAGGGGAAATGGAAAAATGTTCACTTATTAAATCCTCAGATTTTCCAGTAAAACATGCAGGCTATAACACAGATAGTAAGATACTGTATACACACACACACACACACACACACACACACACACACACACACTTGTTCAAAAGTTTGGGGCCAGTGAGATTTTATTTATTTATTTTAAAAAGAATTGAATACTTTTAAGTTGCATTAAATTGACTAAAAGGGATGGTAAAGACCTTTACATTGTTACAAAAATTTTTTATTTAAAATAAATGCTTCTTTTGCAGGTTAATATTAAGTGGCACAACCATAATAGGTTGTGGAGTAATGATGCTGAAAATTCAGATTTACCATCACAGGAATAATTTACATTTTTAAAATGTAATAAAATAGAAATAGTTTTGACATTTTTTTAATAATATTTGATAATATTGATGTTTTTACTGTATCTTGCTCAAACAAACAGTCTTAGTGAGCACAAGAGACTTTTAAAAAACATTTTTAATAATCTTAGATAAAAAAAATCAACTTGCTTGAATGGTACTTAAACTTTTAAACAGTAGTGCAGTAGCGGTAGCATGTTTATTTATTTATATTTGTATATATATATATATATATATATATATATGTGTGTGTGTGTGTGTGTGTGTGGTTACTTATCTGCCTGCCAGTTCCTTCTTCATACATGATCTAAATGAAATGAAACGCTCTAAAGCCTTATAGCCCTGCAGGTAGGAAAAAACAAAAAGAGAGAATGATTCATTACTTCAGTAGTTGACAAAGCTGCATTTTATTTTCATTTTTATTAACTATAAACAATAATTGGATTACAACAAAAAAAAAGAACTTTAAAAAAAACATAAACTTTCATTAATAAATCATGCTGCAGAAACAAATTTGCTGCTAGCATTGTTCAACATCAGAAGAAAATGTTATGCTTATTTGACAGCAGATTTAGGAACTAGGCCTAAATGTTGATAAAAAAAACCCCTACAGGGAGGTTTCATTATAGACATAGCTACTGAACACTAGATGGCACTATAGTTGCAGTGATACTGCCCTCTCTGAATTACACTCAAAACATCAGAATGTATCTAACTGATGTAATTAACTCAATAAGGTAAAGAATGATGTACCTCTTTTTCCCCTACACCTCTTTCTTACCCTGCCTCCACGGTGCAGACGGTCCTTCATTATACCAATGAACTCTTTGTAACTGAGCTGATCATCGTGATCCACATCAAATATCTTGAAAATGGTGTTAACCAGGTGACGGGTCAGTTTAAGGCCTGTTGCGACATACACCGCCCGAGCAAACTCATCTGGAAGACGGAGAGTGACACACATTCAGAAGATATAATGAATCTGCTCTACAAAACAAACACTCAATGTGCTGGTAAATTATGTGCAAATTTGTTTCTAATAAAATATGATAAGCTCATTTTTAGTTTTCTTAATCTCTACAGATTTTGAGTAGAACGTAAAGTATTTGGACCCTTAAACCACACTTAAGTAAATGCCGCTGCATTAGATAACATATCAAACCAATATTAAAATTTGTTTTGAAAAATGATATAGGCTTACAGTGGGGCCAAAAAGCGTTAGACCACTATAAAGAGAAAATGTTTCAATCAAAATGCTTTATTAGAAAAAAATATCCAGCATAACAATCTAAATGAAAAGTTTAATAAAAAAAAAAACGGGTCTTAATTTTCTTTTGTTTTAATGTTTCCTAAAACAATATTTTTTTCAATGTTTAAATTCGATTTTGAATCCCAGATTTGTTTATGTGGTCTCGTGACTTTTTGGAACCCACTGTGTATTTTGTATATGTGTCAAATGCTAGTATTTGTGAATCCCAATGCATTCACCTTGTCCAATGGAACGGCAAGCAAAGTTGTACATCTGCATGGCGATGGCAAAGTCTTCAAGGTTATTGAGAAACTGAAAGAAAGACCTGAACTCTTCGAAGGTGATGCCCTGATCAGGAAAAGAAAGAAATGAGCAAAAAGAAACAGAAATCTTTTACTATGAGACATCCGATCTAACAGACAGAGCTGCCATCAACTGACGTTACATTCCATTCCATTTCAAAGAGGATCTGTAAGAGACATGACATCACGCAGAATACACAAGCGGCGTTGTCATTTCATTCTCGAGCAAATCGGGTAATGCAATGATGGACAGAAGGAAATCAACATGTTGATATATGCAAAAGAAATCAGACTCTGTGCCACTCATGCTTGTTTGCTGATGTATGTTCAGTTCTTTGTGCTCTGCCACACTGCATACAATGACACATGCAACGATTAAAGGCATGAGTCATTTTACAGCACAATGTCATAAAATTGTCAGCCTGTCTGAATGCGGAGAAGCGAAAACAAACTGCATGACATCATAGACTGGAATCAAAGAGATAACTTACAATTGGACTGACATCAGAACACCAAGAATCTCTTAAATACACAGCTCAAAAGTTTGGGGTCGGTAAGATGTTCTCTTATGCCTACCAAGGATGCATTTATTTGATCAAAAATGCAGGAACAATATAAATATTGTGAAATATTATATATCACTTTTTTTCTTTTTAAAAATATGTTAAAGAGCATATTGCAGGTAAAAAAAAAATCTAAATTAATATATAACCTTGTATGAAAATACCATATGAAAAGTTAATGCAGGATTTAAAATGTTTTAAAACGACATAAGGGCACTAATTTAGTAGATAAAGTGAGCGTTTCTTGGACTGCTCGTAAAAACGGCTTTTTTTTTCAAAATCGCGTCATTTTACGTCACGCTAGGGAGCCTCAGCCTCGACTCAGTGCAGAGTAGGCTGGTATTCAGTGAGAGCGGCCGTGAGTCAGTGTGTTTTCGGTAGTTTTTGTATTTTAATTTATCATCGTCATGGTAAATTATTGTTTGTGGAGGTTGCAAAAACTCCGGCCTGTCAGGACATCGAGTCCACAGGTTTCCATAACAAGAAAAGGGACGGTGTTGTTGTATATCTTTCGTGCCTGGTGCGGTTTGTGCAGGTGAAGAGACGGGATTTCTCTTCCGCATCGGCTTCGAGAAACGCGGTCGTGTGTAGC